CATTCTATATGCATCCGAAGAAGTGGGCTGTAGTCCACGAAAGCTTATGCTCTAATAAATTTGTTAGTCTCTAAGGTGCCACAAGTCCTCCTGTTCTTCTTTTTGTAAAATTTGCAGGTTCTTTATATGATGTTTGTATTTCTCTTTGTACAGGCTGCAGAGGATGGGAGGAAAATTCCTGACATTCCCAAATGAAAGCCACTTGCTAGGGATCTAGGGGAAGGGGAAGAAAGGTAGTTGCTCTGGGTTTTGTTTATTTATTTTCCTCCCTTCCCTGCTAAATGTAGCAGTTTACTGAATGTGCCATTTCACCATAGCATCTTTTTACATTGGGAGGGCTCCCCAGCCTCTCTTTTTCTGGTATTATGAAGTGCTCACACACATTGCTGAAGTGACACTAAGGAGCCTTGGTCTGAACACAGTTTTTGTATTGGTATAATTAGATTGTGATTTTTTACCAAAATAGTTACATCAGTACAACCCAAGCACGGACTAGGTTATGCCAATACATAAGAACGGCCATAGTGGACCAGATCAGTGGTCCATCTAGCCAGTATCCCATCTTCCAACAGCTAATGTCAAGTGCTTCAGAAGGAATGACTAGAACAGGCAATCATCAAGTATAAAAGTGCTTATACTGATATGGTATTTCCTTTCCTGTACAGTTCTACCTGGTGTATGCACTGTTATTACTGGTGTAATTGTGTCTGCCAATCTCTATACCAGTATAGTTAAATTGGTACAACCTGTGTGTATGGACAAGGCCTTAGAACTGCAAATACTCATGGACTGACTAAATGACAAACCATCATATTTATAATCCCTTGCAAAAGAGGTACTAGAGTATTCTACACGAATTGTCCAAGGCACTACAGTTCACAAAAGTGTCACTGCCTTTCTGCTCCTCCCGTCTGTCTGGAGGAAGCATTCTGAATATACTATAACACAATGAAACATCAATAGGAAAGTACATTTATTTGTGAGAATAAGCAAAACATTTTTTAAAAATTATTTTAACTCCTTCCCCTCTTTCCACCCCACCCCTTTGCAGTTTCTGCTGTAAGTCAATGTTCAAAATCCTTCAGAGAGTCCCTGGATCTACTGTCGTTATTATCTATTAATTGTATTGTGATCAGGGCCGGCTCCAGGCACCAGCCCTCCAAGCATGTGCTTGGGGCGGCACCTGGAGGGGGGCGGCGCTCACCCGGGGAGAGCGGGGCCACGGCTGGGCTCACCGCCCTCCCCCCGGTGCTCCGGCCCCCAGGGAGAGTGGGGCCCCGACCGGGCTCGCTGCCCTCCTCCCGGTGCTCTGGCCGGCCGGGGAGAGCGGGGCCCCAGCCGGGCTCTCCGCCCTCCTCCCAGCACTCCGGCCGGTCAGGGAGAGCGGGGCCCCGGCCGGGCTCTCCGCCCTCCTCCCAGCACTCCGGCCGGTCA